GACGGCCATGGAAGGCGTCCGGCGGCGCGACCGGGACACGCAAGCAATGCGTCCCGGTTCAACCCGGAACGGGCGTTTTGCTCGTTCCGGGTTGAACCGGGACGCATTTCTTGCGCGTCCAGGTCGCGCTGCCGGACGGCTTCTTTGGCCGTCTGGCGGCCATAATGCTTTTTTTTTTTTAATTTGTTTAATTCATTATTAGTGTTTAATTATGTTTAATTTAATATAATTAGGGTTATAATGTAGTTATTTATTAATTAATAGTTTGTGATTTAGATTGAGGTTCTCTATTAGTTAGTTATTTAGTTTAATTGTGTAAATAATTTAATTTGATTTGTTTGTAAATTAGTTGAGTTTAAAAGACTAATTTAATTAATAGTAGATTAGTTCACTATCTAATTAGTTTAATTGATTAAATTACTTAATTTAAGTAGTTATTAAAGTATTTAGGTTATATTTTTAATTTAATTAATAGTAGATTAGTAAAGCTAATATAATTTGTTTGTAATGTAGTTTATGATTAATTAAATTAATATAAATATTTTGTAAAAAAAGTTGAGTATTTTGGATTAATTATAATTAATAATAATTTAATAAAAAATTTGGTAAAGTACTTTAGTTTTATATGAATTGTACGTTTAATCAAAGTGTACTTAATTATTAAACTATTTAAGATTTAGGAAATGTGTATAATTATTTGTTTAGACTATTAAAATATGATAATGATGAATAAAATTTTGTTTATAGGTTTATTATGATTGTAGACTTGCCGTCTGTTAATTTTTTCATCAGGAAATATCCTCTTAATCGCAGCCATGATCTGACATGGTCTGCATCCATATTTGGACATACCATGTATAAGCTGTTTCACTCCATCGCTAAGGCCCATCGTGGGATGATCTTCGTCAAACAAGTCGTGGTTATGCATTCCAAACTCACCAGAATACATCCGAATGCGCCACTTTTCATCAACTAAGTGCACATATAAATTAAATTTACACCCAGTATTTTGGATTAATTAAATTAAACACACATTCCAATCATTTAAAAAGATATACAATTATAATAGATAATAAAAAAAACATATATTTATAGTAAAAAGATTAATTATAAAAATACAAAAATCAACTAATCCAAAATTATTTACTAAATTAAATTTCCCAATACCTACCTAAATAGCTAGAATTCATTAATTTAGCGATTAATTAAATATTTAATTAATTACATTTCCAATACTTAATTAAATACTTATTCCACAAAATTATTTAATTATTTAATTCCCCCCTGAAATAAATATTATTTCTAATTAATTAAACCTAAATAAATAAATAAAATTCGAGTAGTTAAATTATTTAACATAACTAATTAAATTAACAAATAAGAATAATAATATTCTTACTTAATTAAATTAACATAACATGCAATATTTAAATAAAATTCAACTAATTAAATTACTTAACATAACTAATTAAATTAAAAAATAAATTAATAATATTTCTACTTAATTAAATTAACATAACATGCATGAAATTAAAAATAAAAAAAATAAAAAAATTTAAAAAAACTGTTCACCGAACCGGCCCGTTCGGTTGGACCGGGTTCAATGGCCGGACGCACAACACACGCGTCTGGGTTGAACCGGGGACGCGCAACAAACGCGTCCGGCCATTAAACCGGACGCGTTTGTTGCGCGTCATCACGGTTCAACCGGGACGCGCGTGCCGCGCGTCCGGCCATTGAACCGGATGCGTTTATTGCGCGTCCCCGGTTCAACCGGGACAGTTTTCTTGTCCGGTTCGGTGTTTTTAAGTTTTTTTTTTTTACCTCTGAATTACTCATTTTCTTTCTCTCTCTACTGTAATAAATTACAGCGTCAAAATCGTCCAATTTCTTTTTTAGGTGGCTTTGAGTACTAAAAGGGGTGGCTTTAAAAATCCATCCCCTTTTCCAACAGCATATCAGCTATAGTTAATGCATGGAGATAGATGGACAGTGTAGGCTAGCTGTAGTTTATTCCCAAATTCATGCAACTTTTATATGGTCCTTCAGAAGTGCAGATAGTGTGTTTGGGTAATTGGGTTGATGAGAAAAGAGTAACTGACAAAAACAAATTTGTGACAATTGTACATTATTTTTTGTCTATCATCTAACTTTTCTTTTTTACTATATAGAAATATTAGTAATATCTCAGACGAAATTTACTTTTCTGCAGCTTGTCTTCTAATTTAAAGGGGTGGATAAAAACATGAACATTATAGTTTCAAAATCTTCATTAACCGGTAAATTTAAGAAGGTTGAAAAACTTTGGAATTGCTTTCAATGAAGCCAATTTCAGTCTTACAGCCTACAAAGATGATGTATCAGGAAAACTTTGGAATTGTTTTAATTATTTCTTGAAGCCATTTTCAGTCTTACTCCTCTAAAAATTTTCTTCGAGTGTATCGCAATTAAGTCGTAACTAGAGGACATTGACCACTGAATTCAGTTGTTATTTTCTTGTTTTAATTTCTATCTTTGCTTACAACTTTACTGTTGAATTATAAGGAAGAAGCAAGGAAGACATGGCAATATATCTACTACTATATATAAAGCGAGAGCACCCTTCTTTACAGTAATTCTTCGTCGTTACTCCTTCTTCTATAATGGTGGCAGTTTAGTAAATAACTTAATTAATATGTCTAATTTTGGAAAACGGTGTTTCTTTATTCCATTTTTTTTTTCCTATATTCTCCCTTTCCTCTATTTGTAGTTCCTGGTAACCCATCTCTCACCGGAGCACTCTCTCACCTCTCTTCAGAGTTGGAGCAAATTCTTCCCAATGGTATTGGTTTCTTCACCATTATATTTTCTATTTCAATTCGTATTTTTCCAAAAATGAATAATTTTGTGCACAATGCTACTGATGACAATATCAAAAATAATTTAAAGAATAAGCCTTAAATTAAAATTCTCTTGATTGTTATGAGATATTTTAAAGATTTTTTTGTCCGTAAAAAGACATACGATCTAAAACACAGGACAAATCAAAATGACTTATATTAAAGAGCGAAGTGAGTACAACTACTAATTTTGTGCACACGTAGAAAGTGATCCACGTTTATACTTGGCAAGGAGTCGCATGAGGTGACCCTTACCATAATATATAATTTTCTTTTACTCATGTAATAAAATAATTAACAAAATAAGAACTTTCATGACAGAAGCATATTTTTCATAATTTACACCATATAGTTGAATGGCCCAAAAGTATATCTACTACTTTCATTTTATCACCCAAAAATTCAGATTGAATACTAAACATTTTCATTTTAAATAGACATATTTGTTCAAAATTTGTGTGTGTCCATAGTATTATTAATAATTTTTAACAACTTTATTTCAGTGGAAAGGAAAAATTAATCATTGTTTTACCCAACACGAAAGGATAAAATCATTATTTTTATTTTGTTACATAACCAAACAAGATAACAATTCTTTTACTAGAAGCAATTTCCAGTCATTTTGATAAATACTCCATACTCAATCATCTATTAATTATCAACGCTCATTGTTATCAATTTATTTTTTTAAAAAAAGAAAACTACATATATACATTGCCGATTGATGGTAAAGCCCACACATAGTGTGGGCACGGAAAAACTAGTATATAATTATAATATGAAAAGTAAAGACAAATACTAGAAAACATAGTACTGAGAAATAAAGTTTGACTACAAAAGGCCCTATGCTGCCAATTTCCTTCTATTCCATTCAAAAGAACAAAGAAGCAGCAAAAGTTCAACATCCCCAAATTATCACCAATAAGGTAAATTTGCAGCAGAAAAAAATTTCAGTTTGACAAACAAAAGAAGATAGGAAGTCCCCACCGAAAAAGGGTCATTTTCCCACACCAATGCATATAAATATAATCCTCCATAGCTTAAAGGATCCTGTGGCTGTGCTATAAGACTTGTGCATGCCATGAAAAAGTAACATACAACATGGTCGGTCAATCTTCTACCATCAATATGAAGATGCATCAGATGATCGTACGGTCTAATTTCAAGACTTTTCTTCGTATTGTCCTAGGTTAAAGCTACAATTATATAAACATGATCAAACCTAGGTTAAACCTCAAAACCATGTGTCAAAACCATCATCTAGTTATGACTTTTTTATACTTTCTCCAGGTATTAATCAAATTTGTTAGAAATGTAATCACTGTCCTTCTTTGCATCTTGCCAACGGTAATACAACAGGAAAAATGAATGCAGCTAGTTTTTTGTACCATTTTCTCGGTGGGAATTATTTTTTGGTCACTGATTATACACATGTAACGTATGATGTATCAAGGATTTGATGGAAAAAAATTTCCCCGGATAATAGCCAAGACATCTCACATGTTTGCGTTGATCCAATTGACCTTCCAGAAATATTGTTACCATACCATTCAAAAAAAAATCCATTATGATCCAATTGACCTTCCAGAAATATTGTTACCATACCATTTGATAAAAATCCATTATCTTCATGGCTGCTTTTGGTCATGCCTCCTAAGAATACAAATTAAGCAAAAGTTTCATCGGATTAAGTTTTTGATAATTCTCGGAAAAGAAAAATGAGTCTACCTGAGTACTGCTAAAAATATCCCTGATTATAACAAAAGTTCATAGGGAGATAGAAAAAACCATACTCCAAGTTATGGTTATTTGAGTTACATAAGGGAATTTCATCAAGCATTGGTGTGTACTTATATTGGTCAAAGATGTGCGTAACACATATGCAAGGATCTACTTGCGGTAATATTCAAATCCATAATATTGCATATTATAACGAGTTATATTGCACATTATAACGAGTTAATGCACACCGAATCCAGAAAAGTGTACAAATTCAATGGTGATTCATGAGATTTATGTATTTTTGGTACAAGTGAAAGCTAAAACATTAAATTTTAATACTACTAATATCTGGTTGGAATCATGATTGTACTTCATCGATTAGTGCACTTCTTTTCGTTGTTAATATACATGTTCACTCAAGAACAGCAGCTAAAGGTAGATCTTTGCACTTAATAAAGGACACAAAGAAAGGAGATAAGTCACTTTTGCGCACAATGAAGGACACAAAATAAAGGACATAATTTAACTTGGACAGATTTCGCTCGAGACTCCAATATCTGGAAGTCCACGAGGAGAGGTTCCAAAACATAACTAACTTGAACAAATTCGGTCGAGACTCCAAAATCTGGAAAGTCGACGAGAATATGTTCCAAAAGCAGACCTAATTTACCAAACAGAAACTTACCTAATCAAGTACCACTACCAGGTCTGGCTAATTAAAATTTAAATACTTAAACGAAACACGGAACACACATCTGATTTAAACAAGAGTTCACAGCCAAATGCAACTTCCAAGAGAGTTTCATCACATGGGGTGGGAAATGGCAAAATCCTTGCCGCGCTGAATAGGTGCCTTCAGAGCTTCTTTCGCTGCTGCAATGGCAACCATTTCCTCTTGGGACTGCGTAGTCAGATCAGAGAGATATATATGCTGGATACCAGCAACACCAAGCTCAATCTTACATGTGAAGTACTCTGAACTGTCTCCCAAAGGATTCACCGCCACGAATGCATAATCATACAGAGGCATCATTGCCTTCCTCTCGAATGATTCAGGTATATAACCGCTGAGCGCCCTGAGGCAAGTGTCAATGAATCGGGCAGCAGCATATGCAACTGCGTAAACGGACTGGCGGTTTTCACCCTGCAGCTGAGCTCGGAGAAGGAGAGCCTCCTCTTCAGTGAACTGGATACCTTCAACAGACCCTGCAGGATAAACTTTGGAGAGGAGGGGGACAATTGTGTCCCCCACATCACCCCCCACAACGGGCACATCCACACAAGCCCAGTTGGTCCTCGGCGGCCAGGTGACAGACAGATCTCCAAAATAGTCTGTTAAGGAAGCCATCCCAAAGAATGGGGGCCGGAGATGTTGGAAAAAGCCCTTACCGTGCAAATTTTTCATTGAAGCAACCAAGGCATTGGCCTGAATGGAGTGATATCCAGTCAGGCCAAAGAGCCTACAAGTTCCGTATTGCCCCCTTAAGACCATGTATTCGGCTGCCATAGGGACCATCGATTCGATGGGCTTTGTCATGATCATGATTAATGCCTGGGTGGAATACCTATAGATAAGGTCTATATACCTCCGAATAGCTAAACCTTTATTTTCGAAGTCTTTTGTTGTATCAGCACCTTCCTCGGACCCTGCGGCTATCACCACGATGTCAGCATCCCAGAAGCAGTCCTGAAGGTCGTCATCATCAGAAAAAGCTTTCACCGTCGGAGCGGTACATATCCCGCTCAAATCTGAAGCGATGGATTCCAGCATGCCGGAGGCTCCTTCTTTTGTTTCTTCGTACAGGTTGAGAACCCTGATAGATCTAAACAGCTTCAACAGCAAAACCAACTGTTGTGCAACAGGAGAAGTGGCTCCCATAACCACAACCTTGTGGGTGAGGCACCGCTGCCAGAAAAAGCACAAAAAAGTTACATCAGCTCCGACCATTTTATTTTCCAGTAATGGAAACAAATAATTCCTAAAAGAAAAGAAGAAAAATATAAATACTAACTCTGTTCGGGACTGGAAGCTGAATCACCGGACGCAACCGATCTGCTGGAATCGGAACAGATTGTTCATAGCCGGACTCCGACGAAGAAGCCTTGCAGCTTAATCTTGTGCATCTGAAGCTTTTTATTCGAGCATACGAACGGCGGCCGGATGTCATTGGACGATCGCCGGCAAATGAAGCAGAGAAGGCTAACCCCAGAGAACTCCTGCAAAAAAAAAGAAAACAAAAAACAAAAAACCACAAGCATTTAGAAACGGCAATTAAAAAAGGAACTAAAGAAGAAGATGGAGAAAAGCAGAAGAAAATGAAGAAGATGAAGAATATCAGAAGAAAAAGAAGAACAGAGTTCGTACATGGTGAAATGACAGTAGTAAGAGAGAAAACGTAGAAGTCTAGAAGAGAGGTAGCCAAGACAGTAGGAAACTGTTGAAAGGAGAGAATTTATAAGCCCCCAAAAAAATGACCGGTGAGAAGGATAGAGAACAAATCTGATCGGGCCGTTCATACATATTGACAGTCTGGGTATCTGATATATCTGAACCGTCCAATAGCATTTCACAGCTAATGGTGCGGATTTGAGATTGGTGGTTGATGGCCTTTTTTTGGACGGTGTGGATTGTTGCCGTACAAATATCTTCTGGAACACGACCTTTGATTCCCTTCGAAACGGAATGAAGATAAGTATCATGACAAAGCCTTGGAAAAAAAAAAAGAAATAAATAATGCGTTAAGGTTAGAAACTATCTCCACAAGGTGAATGACAATAACGCTTTTCACTTTTTTTGTTCAATGTTGTTTTGCGATACAAATATGAAAATAGCTTCTTGAAAGTCATTTTTTTTATTTAGAAAAATAAAATAAAATCATATTTCCAATATGATAATGTAGGGGTATAATGTGGAATATATACAACAAATTAATATATATATATATATAAAATAAAAATAAAAAAGAATAACAAAGCATCCAGCTTGCAGAGGTGAATACAAAATTAGGATGTGTTGAACCGGCCAAACTTGGGAAATGATAAAACCAGTTTCAAGAAAGATCAAATTGTCATGTCACATGCAATTAAACCAAAATTGGAAATGATAAACCAGTTCCAAAACTATCTTAGAGTAACCATTTTTCTTTTATATGATACTCTAGTAATGCATGTCGGTTTATTTATCTGATTTGTTTCTTTGTAATTTATGTGTGCATCTTTGTCAAGAACGTAAGATGGACAAAACCATTAGTATATCAAGAATGGATTAATTGCGGCTTATTAAATTTCTGTATACGTTATACTATTTTCTAACAGAAAATTATTAGTCACCATTGAAATTTTGATATTTTTTTTAATTATTTTTAGTGTAAATTTCAAAATAGTTTAAATTTTATTTTGGGAATGTAATTACGTACTAAAAGATCCCGTTTTTACTAATCAAGTAAATAGGAAAAAAGTGGTAATATTTTCAGAGCAAAAATTAGCTACAAAAACAAATCATCGATTTATTCCCTAAAACACTCCTCTTTTTAAAAATAAAAAAATAAAAAAATAAAAAAAAAGCACTCCTCTCTTAGCCAAACACTATCTTCTCCCTCTCTTTCACCTTAATTATCTTTGGCTTCTCTCTTTGACCACATAAGTCAATCTTCATGTTTAATTACAGACTTTACTCCCCTCCACTAATCTCCCTAAAAAGATTAATACTGCTCCCTTCATCAAGTTATAAGACGAACGAATTGGTTGTGGTTGATATAATTGCTTTTAAAGAATATAAATTTTTTCTTGAAAAGATGTTTTAAAAAAATCCAAATATGTTGTTAAGGTGAACACATTTTAGTTTCCAATTTCTAACAAGTAGTTTAAAAACTGAAGAAATACTTCAACATTTTGACCAAGTTTATGCTTTGATTTTTTTAAAATTTTTTATTCTTTTTATTTATAAAGTTATCTTTATGATTTTGTATTAATCTCAAACAAAGTTTTAACGATATCTGTGTTAGGCCAATTCAAATAAAAACTTATTATATGTACTAAATAAACAAAATTTTCAGTATACTAATTTTCTCAGTGCATCCTTTCAAGCTACTTAATGTAATTAACCTATAAATGTATGTTAGTAAGTCAACATACCTATAAAAATTAACAAATCAGTTACCAAAGTAAATATAAGCCTTAATAAAAGTATTATAATCTTTACTGAATGCGAATTATTTTCTTCTTGTTTGAACTTTTTGCATTCGGATTTGGAAAAGTAAAACTATTGCATTCTCAAACAACGAAGAAATAAATAAAAAGAAACAAGATATCGACGATATTCAGTGAGTGATTATTCTGGCATATGGCAGGATGGCATGAAGTGTATTTTGGTGGTTGAATACTCTTTTCATTAATGATCGGCATATCGCAGTATAAGTAAGAAACTAAACATGGTGATGATGTATAATATTTATTTTCAATTAGAATTGGAGAAAGAAAGTATGGAACAAAAGAAAAAGGAAGAACGTCAAAAATGCGAGTACTAATATTAATCATAAATAACGTGACGATTTCAAAACCTTCAACTGATACATTATACAAGTGAAATGTAGATGAGGACAATTGCGTGTTTTTTTTTTTTTTTGCTTTTCCCATTCACATTATTCCTATCATTTTCCTCGGAACAGTAACTACAAGAACATTGAGCAGTAACTATATTTTGATGTTGTTTCTTTTGTTATTTTTCATTCTTTTTGTTACACACTTTGTAAATGTTAAATGAAAAATCAAGCATGAAAAAGACGACCCATATGTATACAATACTAGAACCAAAAGAGACAATGGCCAGGTTTGTAGAACACTGGAAATTGTTTTTACTTTAACTATTAATTTTGTTCGAGACAAATCATGTACTATAACATCAAAGATAATACTCCCTCTGTCTCAAAATTATTATCCAGTTTGAGATTTTATTTTTAGTAGAATTTGAACTAGAAATAAAAACCTAAACTGGACAATAATTATAAAATGGAGGGATGGAGAGAGTATTAGGCGAGAGTACTCAAACCAATTTGGAGAATAGTTTGGATACAATCTTAATGTTGATTATCAGTGTAGGGTTGAATGGTTGATAAATGATAGCATGTCAACTAACCATGTGTAACCTAGATTTTTTTTTCCCCTTGTAACAGTTTGTTTTTTATTAATGAAAATAAAATTTCCAGTAAAGAAAATACTAGAACCAAAAGATAGTAGTATTAAATGAAAGAGCAGAGGAAAAATTTGACTACAAAGCCGCCTACGGTTCTTGCAGACTAGCAGTAAACATCAAGGAATTGGCATCAAGTTGTTCCTCCTGAAAATTAATCCATTAAATGATAGTTCTATATTTAGAGAAAATCTGCTAATTATGGTAACAGTCAAATCCATTGAATGTTTATATAACGAGTTAATGCAACTTAAATCCGGGGGAGAAGAAATGATTAGTACACATTAAATAACTATTCATCTGGCAGTAGTAATTCATTACGGCTATAAAGGGTATTATTGGTTTTTTCAAAAGATGGAAAAGTGCAGTATTATATGTAATTAAAATTGAAAACTGTCCCAAAATTTATCAGTGGACTGTGTTCGTTGGAGATTTTATTTCCAACAGCATCTCTGCTATTGTAATGCATGGAGATAGGAGGGACAGCGTAGGCTAGCTGTAGGTTATTCCCAAATTCATGCAACTTTTTATAGGTCCTTCAGACTGCAGATAGAGTGTTTGGGTAATTAGAAAAAAGTAGCTGACAATAAAGAAGGTTGAAAAACTTTGGAATTGCTTTCATTATTTCTTGAAGCCATTTTCAGTCTTACTGCTACAAAGATGATGCAGTCAGAAAAACGACCCCAGAATATAGTTTGTGTAAAAATTCAAATTTCCTACTATTCCATTCAAAAGAACAAAGAAGAACCAAAAGTTCAACTTCCCCAAGTTATCACCAATAAGGTAAATTTGCAGCAGAAATTGACAAACAAAGAAGATAGGAAGTCATTTTCCTACACCAATGCTTATAATCTTCCATAGCCTAAAGGATCCTAGGTTTAGAGCTACAAATATATTAACATGACCAGTTAATTAACCTAGGTTAAACCTCTCATGTATGCCTCCTTTGAATACAGATTAAGCAGAAGTTTCAATGGACCAAGTTTTTGATAATCTTAGGAAAAGAAAAACAAGAGTACTACTAAAAACATCCCTGATTATCAGAAAAGTCCGTAGGGAGATTAAAAAAAAAAAAAAAAATCATACTCCATTTTATCACGGTTCTTGGAGTAAACATCATGGTATTTCATCAAGCTGTTTCTCCTAAAAATTAGTGCATTGGTGTGTACTTATATTGGTCAAAGATGTAAGTAACACACATGCAAGGATCTACTTGCGGAAAGATTCAAACCCATAATATTGCATATTATATAACGAGTTAATGCACACAGAATCCAGAAAAGTGTACAAATTCAATGGTGATTCATCAGATTAATGTGTTTTTTTGGTACAAGTGATTCAATGGTAAAACATCAAATTTTAATAGATGGCGGATTCAAATTAAAACACTACCAATGTCTTGTTGGAATCATGATTATACTTCATAGATTAGTGCACATTTCTTTTTGTTAACATGCATGTTCACGACCCAATTTAGTATTTCTTTTGTCATGAATTTATTGTTTGAATTAAAAACAAAAGTTAAAGGTGGATAATAATTTGGAACATAAAAAAGAGTATACAGTAGTTGATCAAGGGTTCTTTTAATCAATGCATGGAAATTGTAGCTTATAATACCCTAATTCATGCAACCTTTTTTTTTGGCGTCAGGATAGAGATTACGTGTTTCAGTGATTGGGACAAAAAGAAATGATGATGGTCAGAGAAAACTAAGAAGTAAAAAGTTATCAAAAGAGAAAAGTAACACCTTAAAAGAGAAGTAAAAAGTAACACCTTAAACTACTTTTCTCTTTTGATAAGAAACACTCAAATACTAATAAACTCAAACACAGAGGAGAGAGCAGTGCCATTAATATTATACACGGGAGGCGAAGAACACAGCAGATGACAGATTTCAAAACACTCTGTGTCACTTGGAAGTCTCAAATGTATATTTATCAAAATCATTTTTTCTAGGGTTATAAGGATCAAATCAGATATGTTTAGCGCCATCATTCAATTAGATGCATGTAAATTCTTTGTTTCAAAAATGAAAATGCTTCCAGAACAAAAAGGAAAGATGTAAAAGTGAGGCACATGTTTTACTTTTTAGTTGTGTCCTTCGAGGAACAGGCCAAACTTCAAGAGGAAAGCAGAAAAGAAGCTGAAGAGCAACCAAAGAGAAATCATTTCATGAATTATTTTTGATATTTTTAGATTTTTTCCTTCTTTTTTTTTGTTTTGTTTT